AGAAGCTTTTCTGAAGACCTTCATCAACGTGCAAATGAATGGCACACGTACTTTGTGAATATATATATATATATATATATATATATATATATATATATATATATATATATATATATATATATATATATATATATATATATATATATATATATATATATATATATATATATATATATATATATATATATATATATATATATATATATATATATATATATATATATATATATATATATATTTCATACTCAAACATGGACAGAAGGGAAGAAAACCATAAACAATGGTATATTTGTAAAAGAAGTTACACCGAGTAGTGAAGACAAGTTTTATAATGTTAATACACATATTTACGAGTTGGTATACAATTGTATGAATTTGAACAATAAAGTTGTCTTATTTTATAGCGACTGGTATGACACATCTTACAGAGGGACAAAGATAAGAAAAATACTATTGAAGTTCGATTTGATAGAAGGTACAAAGAGTATGACATTTTTATAAGGGCATATAGTGTTAGACAAGTTTATTACGTACATTATCCTTCAATTACACCACGAAACGAGGATGGTATATTGTAATCAAGTCCAAATAAATGGGTAACGGTCTAGTGGAACATGTTGCATACCAAGATGATGAGATTTCTGACATGCTTAGACATGCTAGACTTGATTGAATTTCCTGAGGATGACGTCCTCATTGGATAGGTGTAGAAGTATTACAAGAATTAATTTCCTATTGGGATTCCAATGAGTATGGATGGCAATTTGAATAATCCCTAACGGGAAACCACAAAATTATCCATGATGGGTAGGATAAAAACCCGCAAAAAATGGTATGGCACAGGCTCGGGTAATTGCCCACAAAGATAAGCGGGTATGAGGGCAGGTATGGGCACCTTGGTACCCACCTCGCCCCATATTTGTACAATATATATTTATATATTTTAATTTATATTTATATATTTTAATTTATATTATATATAAAAATATATGTCTATCAGTTTTAAATAGTATATCAATGTTAAACCATTGTGTATTTAATATAAGTGTTTATTTATTTCAACAATAAAAATTTTGAAAACTATTTAATGTTTTTAAAATCTTAAAATGATTTGGTATTTTATAATTGATCTATTTATTTTTAATAGAAATGCGGGTAACGAGTACGGGTATGGATACTTACATACCCATAAAGCACGAGTACGGATGCTAGCTTTGGTGTCCAAGAGGGTAAGGGCTCGGGTACGATAATTTTTTTCAAATTGCGGGTATGGAGATGGGCACTATAGTACTCTGTCCAAACTCTGCCCATTATCATCCCTACCGATCAGCTTAAGAAAATACCTGAAGAGAAAAAAAATAGAGCTTTTGAATTAATCAACTGCAATGACACGCAAAGAAGTATCTGACGAAATTGCACAACAAATAATAAATTTAAATATTTTTTAATTATGCTAGTGTGCTAGTGTATCCTAGTGTGCTAGTCTGTCTAGTCTATAGCTTTTGCAATGAGTTAATCCCCAAGCAAATATGTTGGGGGTTAAATCCCTAATAGAAAAGTTGTCACGACGTATTTTGCAAGGTGATGCAGCCCCTCACATTATTTGACGTTGTGAGATGGTTTTTTGCATTGGTGTAACTCAAATTTTCTTATAATGTTATTACGAAAATGCACATATGGACATATCCTTTGTTCAATATAGGAATATATTTTCAGACTAATTTTTAACAAAATACGATGAATAACTCACTTACAAACTGAATATAGTATATTTTGAATGCATACAAAGTATACTTCCCCAATTAGAAGGAAAATTTTTTAATTTTAAAGGAATTTTTGAATTTTAGAAAGGAAATATAACCCTTTTCGGTATTTATTCTTCTTTTCTATATATGGACCTTATTAAAAAAAAACTATTTTATTTATCTCATACTAATTGTCACTATTTTGCATTGAAATAAATATAATAAAACTAAATATTAATTAATTAATTATTGATATATTTTTATTATAATAAATCGTACAAAATAAATGATTGAAGTGACAATTTAAGAGAAATATATAAATTGTAATAGAGCATCTTTAATAGGAGTAAACTAAATGGGTAAACTAAGATATTTTTTGTGGGCACAAAGTGCTTTGTAGGATTTAAAAAATTTATAGTTGATTTGAGTAGTTTTTACTTTAATGATGATTGTCTATAAGAAACCAAAACTTGACCCCACATTCTATATTTTTTATTGAAGTTACCATTAATTTAATTATTTTAATTAAAACGCATACAATTTTTTTAATAAAATTTGCCTTAAAAACTTAAAAATAATATTAAATATATTTTATTATAAAATTAAAAATGATACAAAATTCACAACAATAATACATAAAAAAAAATTACATTTTCATAGAGAGTATCACATGACCCTCATGATTTAACTTTAATTTAATTCTCATGTTTTCTCTTCAATATACACAAAGTAGAGTATGATTTAACTATAAGTCTCATGATTTCTCCACCATACACACAACTCATGAAGAGTACCATATGACCCTTGTGATTTAACTTTAACTCTCATGTTTTCTCTTCAATACACACAACGTAGAGTATCATAGAAACCTCATGATTTAACTCTAAATCTCATGATTTTTCTTCAATAAATCCTATAACTGTGAAAACAACATAAAAGACTCAATTTGGTGGTAGATATATTGAACCAAAGGTGTCATCTTCCACAGTTATAAATCAAATGTCATATTAAACTTTATTTTTGTTTATATAAAACCACCCCAAACCTTGAAGTTGAAATTTTTATGTTTATTTGCGTATTTTTTCACTTTTAAAGTTCACTTTCATTTAAAGATTCTTTAAGTTGTAAGTTAAGGTATTTTCAAATATATGCATGTCGTTTAAAGTTTTATGTTTTTAAACCAAAGTTTTATATTTTTAAACCAAAGTTTTAAAAATTCATGTTAGTATTAGTTTGTTTGTTCATGGTTGATTTATTTTGTGTTTGAATTGGCATGTACATAATTGATTTTGATAAAATTGAATTTAGTAGAATTGATTTTAATAGATTTAAGTTTAGTAAAATGTGTTTATGTTTGGATACATTCATGTAAAAGTGATTTAAAATCAAAAGTTACTTTAAAAAAATCAAACACGTTAAATTTGTGTTGTTTAGAAAAAACATATAAACATGGTTATAAACATGATTTTGGTTTTAAGAGGTTGACTGATTAGTTTTTATGTTATTTAAATTTGAATTTGTTGAGTTTAGTTTTGTCAGTTTAGTTTAAGGGTGCTAAAATATGAAATTAAAATTTCTATAAAATTTATAGAAGGTAATATTTTATTAATATTATAATATATTTTACATTGAATAGTTAATGTTAACTATATAAATAATAGAAACTAAACTTTAGTTCACTAAAGGACAGATCAGCTCTACTATCATGCAAATTTTTTATTACTAAAGTAAATTATACAAAATTTTGGTTTAACAACCCTGCGCTAAAGTTGCTTTTAATGGAATAATACAATCTAAAAAATAACTCTTAAAAGTTACAATAAAAATAAAATCAAAAAAATTACAATAAAAATTAAGAGTGATTTTATAAAATATTAACATCTATTTTTTGAAATATCTATTAAAATATCCAATCAAATCTAACCAAATAAATATTTATCAAAATACATTTGAATTTAAATAATTGAAGAAAGTTTTTTCGTAAAGGTGAATTTTTGTAGAACACAACTTCCCATTCATCACACTTTAATAATATTCCTAAATATCCTTTTGTATTAATAAAATATCAAATCTAAATATCAATATCCTATCACTAATAACAAATCTTCCCACTTTTAATATAAAACACCAAAATCACTTCTCATAACATAGCAAACAAACTTGATATTTACCGGCGTTCTCTCATTTTTTTTGTTTCAATTCAACTTCAAAATCAGTTATTCGAAAAATCAACATGAGCGATTTGAAAAAAGTATTCGTGAAGTCTGTACTAACCTCTAGAGTATGAATTCAGTCTCATCTGTCAAACTATCTAGCAATATCATATAATTTCAATGGATACAGAATTTCCGGGCGTAATTCACTCTCCCCAGATTTAACTTCCGTCGTCTTCAACCCTCCGATCAGTACCGTTATTTGAAGGCCAACGTTGATAATTTAAGTTCATTCAAGTTGGACTCACACTTTCAGACAGGAAATCTTCCTGACTTTGCTTCCAACTTTGATAATCTTAGGTGGATTTAACACGATTCGCTAATTTAATGTTTTCGTCAATATTTGTTTTTAACAAATTAGTTAGTTAGGTCACATATAGTAGTAGCGCTTATGATTTCGGATATTTGGTGAATTCAAATAGGCATAAAGAGTCAAATAGGCATAAAGAGTCAAAGACATTGTGTCCTGTCTTAAAAAAATAGCATATCCGCACTTCATAAGTTGGTGTATCCTATAATCAAATAGTGCATGTTTCTACTCTACTATTTTTTAGAAGAAAAAAACAAGAATTTTTTTCTATTAAACATAGAGCTTGTTTGATTCCTTTCTTAAAAGCTGTAAGGAGTAAATATCAATTTATAATTATTAACCATCTAAAATAAGTTTAGAGCATGTTTAATTCCTTTCTTAATAAAAATCGACTATGTTGGTATATTTATCATCCAACAGACAAATCTGTGCATACAAATTTTGTCATTTTTTTTATGTCTAAATACTTATTTTTGCACGAAAAACTTAAAGAACAGATAAACTAACATATGTAATGACAATTCTGCACTTAGGACTTGATTCATGAATCTTTGAATGGATTGAAATTTATTATCTGCTAAACTTAGCAAACACAGTAATGAGTCTCAATACAGATACAGAAACTTTATCTTCCACGATTCAAGCTACAATTGCAACCAACAATGTATATAATGTTAGACGTTGCTAATTGGTCACACAAATCTGTCACATGTTACACGCATGGTTGATAGGTCACATCTTGGAAAATATGGGAGCTTTAATCCCAGATTTAATTTGGCCATCTGCTTTACTAGATTGCTGTGCTGAAAGCCTCGCTTTAAGCTTATAGAGGACATTATGAACTTCATCAAAATGTGGCTTCGTTGCATTTTTTGTGCTCTCAATCCACAGTTGAACTTTCTTGTACGGGCCAATAATACGATCATGATCCTTCTCGTCTAAAAGCTGCATCCAAAAAACTGTAATTATTGCATGTCACAATTCTAGCTAAACAGAATTTAATCAGGTCGACACTAACTATAGGAAATATTTCCTCTCTTGCCGAATCAGACTCAAATAGACGTGCCAGACTTCCCTTCCATGTTTCTTTATTTTTCAACCATAAAATGCAAATTGAACAAGAAAAACCTTTACAATTTATTTTCTTTGAATTCATAGAAAAATCTCAATAAAGATATTCCTTAATGAATCATGGCACGAAGGTATATTGGAACTCCCCAGTCCCCAGTTTACCTGTAACTGCATAATTTCACAGACAAGGCTGAGATCTGCTATGGAAGGTCGAAAGCTGCCAAGCAAGAACGGTCCGTCACCGTTAAGCCAAATATTTTCTATTGTGGACAGAGATGATACCAAAACTTTCTCGGCTTCAGCAGCTGCTTGTGCGTTTAGTGGTAGACCCAATAATGGAGCTAATACAGTATTTAGAACATATCCGGCTACAGCAAAAACAAGTAGACAGGTCATGAAAAGAGAAGAATCAGAAGAAATTTTGCAGATTAAGGAAACAGTGTCTTCACTTTTGTCAAAGAAAAATATTAATCAGAAATTAATGCAAAGAATGTAATTCAAATGTACATGCAAAGAAGAATCTAATTTAACCTAAAAATACATGGCGTTGCCAGATTTAAACAAATCAATGCAAATAACATAGGCATCAATGTGCTCAAAGAATGACTCGACCAACTATATGCTATCAATGTCATCTGCAATGTTAACATAAAAGCCCCAATACAAAAAGATATCCAGGTCCAGCAAGCAAGCAAAACTAGAAATTGATCCCTGGTCTCTTCTTAAATTTAAATTACTTAAAGGAGACCACTATGAAATTTGATTTCTGAAAGCAAATAAACAAAAGGGTTATTTTTGTGCTATAAAACACCTGCTCCGCGGCGCAAATTCTGGTGATGCCAATCTAACACTGAGTGGATTTTAGCTTTCCTCGAAGCATCAGCTGGGTACCTAATGGAATGAGTAGAAAAAAATTCAAAAATAGGAGAACAGATGTGTATGTCTGCGATGAACAAGTCGCCAACATAGCAAAAACAGAAAGAAACCTGCAGAATGTAATGAATAACATACACAAAGGTGAAACCTACAGAAGGATGCATGTCTGCCCTTCTAGTAAACTATTGAGTGAAAGTGAATCTTATTGTAGGATGCCCATATAAATTAATCAAGTAACTAACATTAGTATCCAGAAAATTCCACTAACCAAGAACATGCAAAAGTAGAAAGAAATACAGAAAATTTCCCCGTGAATGTCATTGTGGAAAAGCGACAAGAGACAAGGGCAGATTCTTGCAAATTTTTCGGTATCAACAGACACTTTGATGGCCATGGCGCGAGTATTGTGTTTGAATCGAGGGTGAGACTTGCTAGAACAACTACCAGAGAGAGGTGGGCTTCACTCAACTTGGACAACCTACAGCCACAACTGCCAGATCCTGACAGGTCCTTGGTGAAGGGCGGATTTTCCTCTGGTTTGATCGAACCGGGGCTGTTAATGCATACTGTTGTCATGCTATGTTTTTGGGTCAAACATACCACTCAAAACAGAGTGTATGACGGAGACATGAGTTATCATGTTTCATGCCTTGCTCTGTCACTCTACTTCAAGTTATGGAACCCTGGTGGACACTTGTCTTATCCATCAATGTCACCTTGAGAGGACAAGGTGGATCAACCCTCCTAGCATCTATTCATTCACGTGTCTTGAATTCATAAAAAGATAGCGAAAGAGGGAAAAACTACTAACCAATGGTTTGCAACTCCAGGAAATGCAGAAGCAATATAGATAAGAATTGCATGACTGCAAAGAAGAAATAACACATAAGCGGATACAAAAGTAATTAATCATAGCACCAACCTAATTAGAATAGCAGATTACAGTAACAGATTGAAGAATGAAAGCGAACAATTTAAGTACCTCTCGAATAGCTTGTACCTTCCATCAACAATAGCAGGAACTTTCTTCAAAGGGTTAATCGCTGAAAGAAAATCAAATCAGTTGAACTGTTTCCAATTGAAATAAGAACAAGATATTGTAAATGCGGTGGTTAGATATGAATTAGATAACCTTGAAATTCTGGAGATAGATGCTGACGTTTGGAAAGTTCGATATGGATCTCCTCAAATTCTATTCCATTGACTCTACCGATTTCAAGTTTTTCAGTATCAAATTCAATTATAGTATAGGTAGAACAAATTGATTGAAATTAGGGGAAGAGAAGGAAAGTGAAAATACTTGCAAAAGATGAGAATCGCGCGGGATGGCTGGGACATGCGGTCCGCATACACCTTCAGCTTCATTTTTGTTTCTTGGCTACACACTTCTCAGCTATACTCGTCTATTATGTCTTTTTATTCTTCTTAGTAGAAAATGTAATTTTTCTGTTTACTTTCAACTTCGGTGTTCGGTGTAAATCAAAATCAAAAAATGAATTAAAAAAAAAAAATCAAAAACTTTAAGAAATTGAAAATTATTGAAATTGTTAGGATGTCAACTATCAATACTTCAAAAAAAGATTGACCAAAATTACTTTACTGTTCTTTTCTTTAAAATTAATTACACTGCATATTAGACAAAATAGTAAACAGTTAAATGACAAAAATCATCTCTTTCATTTCCCTCTTCTATTGCCATCTGTCAAGTGTGTATTTGATGCATCAAAACTTTGTTTTAAAATCATCTTCCATCGTCCCACACTTTTTTCTCTCTCTGTCTCATTTTCTCTCATCTCTCTATCAACCCTTCAAAACCATACACCGTTGTTGCCGCCCCTCCCCCCACCCTCGTCCTTTTTTTCTCCTCTGGTTGGAATTTCGACGACAAACCGCCGTCCAGAACCATCTCGAATCTACGACCACTCCGACGAAGGACCTCCTTCCGTTCGTGAAACCAGTGTGTCTTCCTCCGCTAAATCCGCCGCCATTGAAATCTCCGTTGAAAGAGGGATATGGTGAGAGGTTTTTTTTTGAAAGATGGAGGACTTTTGTTCTTCTGGGTTTTTCACCTGTGATGAGAGAATGTCTCAAGCTTTTGGGAAGCAGGTTTGCCTTATCACGATTTTTTGTCAGGAAACTAATACTGGTAAATCGGTGTTAACTAAGTAAATTTGTTTGGTTTTATTCCTCTAGGACGTGGAACAATTAATGAAGGAGGTTCAAGAGGCTCGAAGAATCAAAATGCTCCATCAACCAAGCAAGGTATACATGAAATACTATCCCTATTCAGTCTCACCGGGAATTGGATTTCTTCTTATTTTATTCAACTTCATCAAGTTATTTCAAGGAAATTAATATGTTCATTGTTGATGATCTATAGGTCATGGATATGGAACATGAGCTTTTAACATTGAGAGATCAACTTGCGGAGAAGACTAGACATTATCTTCGACTTCAGAAGGAGGTATATGCCTATATAATCTATGCTTAAGTGAAGAGATTTTGTAGTTACTTGATATTTTAAATAATATGGATTAGAGTTTGAATATTTATGTTATACCATTTTTTGTTGTCCTAAGTGAATGGTAAATTTCTCTTATTAAACGTTGTAGTTATATGACTGTCTTTCATTGTAAGCTTCTTTAACTCATTATTGTTTATCCTTCACGATATTTTTCAACTTACAAGGACAAAGAAAGGAGAGGAAAATGTTCCTCGTTTATATGAACTTGAAGGGAATGAAACCTTAGGTTCTTATTTGCAAATTCAACCTTGCTCTGATAATGCCCCAGACGTTTCAAATTGTTCAATTCAATGGTATCGTGTGTCGTCTGATGGTGCCAAAAAAGAACTTATCTCAAGTATTTACTTTTTGATGATGAAAACTTGTCGAAGACAGCGTTTTCTATTGCAATGCTTTTTTATGTTAAGCTTGCAAGTTATGTCATTTTTGTGTTTCCATTTCTATCCTTGATAATGCAATTATCTCTCTCAGGAGCTACCAAATCTGTTTATGCACCCGAACCTTTTGATGTCGGACGCATATTGCAAATTGATATTATTTCAGAAAACCAGCATGTCACACTTGCAACCACTGGTCCAATAGATCCTGGTAGGGTTTCATTGAATCATCCACATTTGATTTAGATGAATATATATTTGTTTCTATTGAAACTACATAGGTGTTGTCTTAAGAGTGTAAGAAACCGAGACCTGTTTCATTGCAAAATCAAGTTGAGCTTAAATTGTGTTTATGCTCTTTATGCAGCTGTTGGTTTGGGAACCTGTGTAGAGGCACTTGTGCAAAAACACGACACCGAATTCAATGTATGTTGTTACAATTCTTTTACTTTTCATTTTCACCCTTTTAGTACCATGTGAGAGAGCATCGATATCAAAGACTGAGAAGTGATTATTTTGTGACAATAATATTGTAGTTGAATTTACTATTTTGCAGGTAATCGTAACTCAAATACAGTTTTAGTTGAAGGTTGATACTTCCTATCCAAATTGGTTCTTTCTAGAAATGTTTCTTAAAAAATAACTTGCATGAAATGTCGTGTCATAGTTTCAATTGACATTTGCAGATAACCAGGTATATTTATATTTAACTGCAGGTAAACAGTTTTATGCCCACAGAATCTGTTTACTTACTTCTTCAGATGCATTTTGTGCAATGTTTGATGGTGGTTATAGGGTGGGTATATCTCCTCTCTCTCGTCCCCCGACTACTATTGATTATCTACCAAAAAAGATAACTCCTTTACTGATTCCTCTTTTCCCAAGAAACGAATTTATCACCTACTATTTTGGTTTAATGCTTTCTCTTCCATGTGAAGATTTTAGTTGGATATTTCATATTTGGCTTTTGAACTGAATGGTGAATTTAGTATGGCAATAAAAGTTGTATTGCAAGTTTAATTTAAATATATTCCATGTCCTTAATGTACAGTTTATTATGTATGACAGGAGAAGGATGCAAGGGACATTGAGATACCAAATATTAGATGGGAGGTCTTTGAGCTGATGATGAGGTCTAATCATATGCTTTATGAAAGTTATGTTGTAAAAGCTTTTAATGATTTGCAGGCAACTTAAATTTCATTTTTTAATCTTTGTCCAGATTTATATATAATGGATCAGTTGATCTCACTGTTGAAATTTATCAACAGTGAATTGTAGGGAGTGGATTGTAGTTTGTAGTTGTAGTTATAGTTTTGTTGAGGGAGTGGATTGTAGGGAGTTTGTTGTTGGGATGAGGATGCATAATATATGTATTTTTTGGTTGTCTGTGCGCGTTGGTATGTATGCTGAGCTGATGAAGATGCGTACCCCCAAATTGAGATGTGTAGTTTAGTGGCACATCCTGATGCATTGATGCGGCAGTTGGTTGTGTTGATGACGAACGTCGCATGCATGGGTCGATCAAAAATTGGTCTGGAGCAATACGCACATAGGGAATGGCACGAAACCAAGTTAAATACTCTTGGTTTGGCTTGTGTTCACCAACTACAGCGTCCCCTTGCAAAATCAAATGTCTTCTATGTTTCCATTATCTCACCTCCTCTTTGTTTAAGTCTCGCCAATGAACTTTTTGGGCTTTTCTCATTGTCATTGCGTGGTGTTCCCTTAGACACCTTGGCGGAGAAGGGATTTTTTGTTCAAATCCAAACTGGAGTTTTACCCTATTTGTTTGATGTATTTCAACGGTATAGAAACAAATAAGAGAAGTTGTAGCACTCCAGATCTGACTATCTCTAAGATTGGACACCGGGTATTGAATGTACGGCCTCCATATAAACTGCCACATATTTAAAAAATAATAATAATACCATTAAGGAGTATAACCGACAACTATGTTCTATGGTTTCAAACTTACATATTTTTCGTGCATGTGGTCCAATGCGTTTCGATATCCTTATAGATGGAAACGAGGATTAGCATCGTAATTCATCCGTCTTTGGGCCCATCTTGCATAAATAAAAAATATAAATATTGTTATGCATAGTTGAATAACAAATATATATATATATATATATATATATATATATATATATATATATATATATATATATATATATATATATATATATATATATATATATATATATATATATATATATATATATATATATATATATATGCGTGTTTTAATCTAGTAATACATTTGTGTGTATGGATATGACGGTTGCACTGTACTAACAGGAGCAAACAATGGTATACGCGTGAATGCCCAAGAAGTGAGTAGCAGAACACAATAACTCATACTCCTAACATCTTTGACTGTTGTCTTGCACATTTCCTTGTATAATTTTGCAAGACATGCAGAACCCCAACTATAGATACCGCATTTTTTTAGATCCCCTACGAAAGGAATCCAGGAAGAACGCAAAAGATTTTGACTCTTGTTGAGAAACAAAATTGTAGTGATTACAAGTAAAATATAAACTTTAGCTTGTAAAACAATATGTTCTTGTGTGGGGGCAGAGTTATCTTTTAAAACTTCATATAAATTTTCTAGCCACGTAATCCTAACAGAACCTCTGTTTTTATCCGCTTCTGTAGGTTCCACCCCTAAGCTCTCCATATAAACATCATTTATGACTTCGGTAGGACCGTTGATAGCTTTTCCATCAGCTCGAAGACCAAGTAACATATTCGCATATTCTAACGTTATCGTGCATTCACCTGTTGGAAAGTGAAAAGTGTGTGTTTCTGGTCTCTATTTCTCTAACAGAGCTACAACTAAGTTGGAGCCGATTTTGAGACTATTTATTTTTGCGATATGAGAAATACCTACTATTTCTAGATACGGGATTATTCTCGCACTTGCTTGAATTGGAGCATGAGAATGCACTTGAAACCTTGCATTAGTCTGAAATGATATGAAACAATATTGAACCAAGCAATTATAATCATTATTCATAGAATAGTAGAGGAAAACTTACACTAACTTGAATGTTTTATTGTGTTCCACGGTGTTCATCGCCCATCCACAACAAAGCCATTTTGATTGAGTATCAAGATACTTCAAGAAATGCTTGAGTGTTTGTTGATGTTATAATGCTTTGTGCTAGAAGTAAAAATGTGTGTAGAAAAAAGTTTGAGGTAAAACTGAATTTATAGATGAGGTATAAATGTTTGGAAGTGTAAATGTGACTAGTAAAAGTGACAATACTTTGAGTTTTGCATGGCTTTGGAAATAGTTACTTGCATGGAATGCATGCAAGGCTAGTAGCTAGGTCTTACACAACGTTTCATGCATGCAAGACACTTTTCAGCACCCATCATGCACTCGCCACTTGGGTGGACGAGTTGGCTCGTGAACAAGAGGGTGCTCGCCCTTTGAGTGGGCGAGCAAGTAC